CTTTAACCCTTCTCTGGCTCTCACCCCTTTAACCCCGGGGGAATTCTCCTCCTCCAGGGGAATTTTGCTCCTCCTGGGACCTCCTGGCCACTGTTTTGACCTCGGTCAGGGCTGGCAGCGTCAGACCCCCCCAGTCCCTCCCACCTCCTGATGAGTGGCCTGGGCTTTGGATCCACCAGCAATGGGCAGGACTGGTTACTCCAAACTGGAGTCTTCCCAGAGCCCAGAAGTGGTTTGGATCCTGGTGTTGGTTGGGGCAGGGGCTCATCCCAGGTCCTGTGGTCGGACAGGGAGCAGGGCTGGGCCCTGTGCTCCGCGTTCTCTTTGCTGGTAGCACCTGGTGCGCACCGGTCTCTGTGGCACGGGCAGGGCACCCTGTGCTGTTTGTCCCCCACCCATCGCTTCCTGCTCTGCTCCTCTCTCCAGGTGTCCCAGCTGCGCCGTGGTCTTCGGCGGAGTCAACTCCATCAAGTCCCACATCCAGACCTCCCACTGCGAGGTGTTCCACAAGTGCCCCATCTGCCCCATGGCCTTCAAGTCGGCCCCCAGCGCCCACGCGCACGTCTACACGCAGCACCCCGGCTTCAGCAACCAGCAGTCCAAGTAAGTGCGTGTTCCCTGCGAGCCGACGGCCCGGAGCGTCCCCGGCAGGTGGGACGTCGGGGGAAGTGCCGAGCACCGGCACGGGGAGCTGAATCCATCTCCTTTTTACTCTCCCATCCCCTGGCATGGTCAGACTGCACCCAGGGCTGTTCTCAACCCTCTTCCAAAGGGGTCCTTCCCAGTTCCTCTTGATCCAAACGCGGGCTGTGCCGACAGCGGTGTCTTGTCCTCCGACAGGATGATTTACAAGTGCGCGATGTGCGACACGGTCTTCACCCACAAGCCCCTGCTTTCCTCCCACTTCGACCAGCATCTGCTCAACCAGCGGGTCAGTGTCTTCAAGTGCCCAGACTGCCCGCTGCTCTTCGCCCAGAAGCGCACCATGCTGGAGCACCTCAAGGTAGTGCCGGGGCCGGGCGCTCACCGCGCGACCCGTTGGTCTTCGTGGTTGGGAACTGTCCTTCACCGGGGCGATCCGAGCCTGCGTCCGGGCTGTCAGCCCGTCGCTGACGCAGTGGGGCCCCGAGATCCGGTTCCCTTGTCCCCCAAAGCCTGGGAAGGGCCTGTCTGTGCTGGTCGGGGGTGGGCAGGCTTTCCTTCCAGCCTGCTGCGGTGCTGGGGCAAAACCCTGGTGCCAAACAGCTGCCAACGCTCTTGTCTCTGCCTCCCAGAACACTCATCAGCCCCAGAAGCCCAAGGAAGACCTGGCAAAGAAGACGGCCGTCCTGCTCACACCGAAGCAGGAGCCTGTGGAAACCCCCGTGTCCAAGATCTCGGAGGAATCGTCGTCCTCCACGGAGGAGGACGAGCCGCCCAGCTCCCCGGAGCTGCGCAAGACCCAAAGCCGCTTCCAGCGCAAGACGGTCAACAAATCGAAGGGCAGCGGGTGGACGTGCGGCGTTTGCCACTCCTGGTTCCCGGAGCGCGACGAATACGTGTCTCACATGAAGAAGGACCACGGCAAGGTGAGGAGGTGGCCGGGGGCACCAGCTGGGCAATGTGGGCAAGGGAATGTTTGTGG